CTATCTAGGAGGGGCTCTATGACCTTCTAACAGCTGGAATGTGTGAGAGTCATAGCTGTCACATCCAGCCCGAGGTGGTTGTGTCTTCTTCACCCACTCTTCCATGTCGGCCCCCTCAAGGCAGAGAACTCTGAACCCAAAAGGGAGGGCGGTGCCACTAGATGCAAGATACTATTGATAGAAGCCTGGATCCCTAAGTCACCACATGGAAGGCCCCTGCTGGCTGGGACCACCCGCCTTAGACTTCTGTGAGTGAGAACTAAAGTTTATTGTGTTCAGCCACTGACACTTTGGAATTTATTTGTTTCATTTGCAAACATTAACCTAATTCGGTTGCCTTATAACAGTGGTCGGCAAACTCATTAGTCAACAGAGCCAAATATCAACAATTGAAATTTCTTTTGAGAGCCAAACTTTTTAAACTTAACCTATAGAGGTAGGTACATTGTTATTAACTTAATTAGGATACTCCTAAACTGGCCTTTGCTAAAAACTCAAGGGGCCAAAGAGCCGCATGTGGCTCGAGAGCCGCAGTTTGCCAACCACTGGGATCGCCTATGGCTCCTAGGCTACAAGCCTGTACAGCACGTGACTGTAAAGCAATTGCAACACAATGGTAAGTATTTGTGTATCTAAACATTAAGAAGGCGCATAAAAACCCCATATAAAAGATAAATAACGGTACGCCGGAACAGGGCACACACCATGCACGGAGCCTGCAGGGTGGGAAGTTGCTCTGGGTGAGTCAGTGAGTGAGTGGCAAGAGAATGCGAAGGCCTAGGACAAGCCACAACTGCAGACATTATAAACACTGTTTGCCAGCATCACCACAAACATGGGAGTCATGCTTTGTGTCACAAGGCTACCCCAAACTACATCACTGGGTGATAGGCATTTCTCAGCTCCATCATAATCTGACAGGACCGCTGTCGAATGGGCGGTCCTGCATTAGCCAAAACGTCATCATGGGCCACATGGCTGTGTTATCATTTTGACAGGTAATCAATGGAGAAATTATTGAGATACAGAATCTTCTTTTGTTGTTGTTGTTGGTGGTGGTGGTGGTCTAAACCTGGCGTGTGCTCTACATGAGCAACACACTCATTTCAGGCTCCACACAGTTCAAGTGCTCACGGGTCATCTGTGGCCAGCGCCTGCCGTATTGGACAGTGCAGGTGTGGAGAGGGTCTGGGCTAGTGAGGTCAGGCTGACCTTGAGAACAGGGTGGGCCTCCCGGGCCCGGAAAGGGAACGAATGCAGAGTCCCGGCCGAGGTAATACATGCTGCCTGAACAGAGGCCGCTGTGTGTGAAGATCCAGGGAGCGTGGCGGATGGTTCTAATTTGCTGTGAAGGCGGCACGTGTTTGTACTTTCCTATTTACAGTAGGCCCTGCGAGGAGGCTTGTAAACAGCTCACAGAGCGTCAGGGAGCCTCGCAGGGCGCGCAGCTGCTCCGTGTTCCCTGGTTGCACAGGCCCCAGGTTACAAGCAAGCTCAGATGAAGCCCAGAATGTTTTCCTGACCGAGGAGCACGGTCTCTGAAATGTGACGGGAAAGAAACCTGAGCGAAGAGCCAGGTTGGGAAATGGTTGCCAGATGTGGGGTGTGGGAGCCGGGGCGGGGGGAGTGGGACCCCCAGAAGGAAGCCCTGAGTGCGGCCCTGCATCTGGGGTCCGTGTCCAGCCCTTGGAGGTACCACCTAAGGGAGAAGTTTCAACGAAAACCCCCAGTCGGCCTGCAGAATGGGAAGGATCTGCCAGAGTCAAGTGGAGGCCAGGCCTATGCCCCGTGTGGTCACACAGGGTCCCTCACTCAGGAGGGCCCACACTCGGTTAAATGCTCTGCTCTCACCATCTTGAAAGTCTTAATCATTTTTGTATGTGTGATTTTAAATATTTTTTTTATTGATTTCAGAGCAGAAGAGAGAGGGAGAGAGAGAGAGAGAGAGAGAGAGAGAGAGAGAGAGAGAGAGAGAGAGAGAGAGAGAGAGAGAGAGATACCAATGAGGGAGAATTGTTGATCGGCTGCCTTCTGCACACCCCACACTGGGGATCAAGCCCACAACCCGAGCATGTGTCCTGATCGGGAATCGAACCATGACCTCTGGGTTCATTAGGTCAGCGCTCAGTGAGCCATACTGGCTGGACAACGTCTTAATAGTTTTTGTACTGGCGTAGGGGGGGTGGGGAGGGTGGCGCTGTGTTTTCATTTTGCACTGGGTCCCACAAATTATGGAGCTGGTCCCGACTGGAGGCCCCTTCTGCCCAAGGTCCCCGGCTGGGGAGGGGCTCCGCCTTTCCATGGCCCCTCTGGGCACCCGTCTCCTGGTGCCATCCCTTCCACTGTGCAGGGAGCCGCCACGTGGAGGAAAGGCCCGAGACTGCCCTGGAGAACAGCACCAGGATGTTGCGTATTTTCCAAAGTTCGACTCACAATGGTCTCTTTTCATTTAAAGAAAACACCGCAGCCATTTCCTAGCAAAGGTTAAGTCTTTACACTTTAAAAAAAAAAAGTGTTTTTTAACCTGCCAAGGAATGTGCTTTTTAAAAGCTGGTTTCCTACCCTTCCTGAAGCCAAGCTTCCCTCCCCCTGCTCGCAGGGAGAGCCTCGGGGTCCTAGGAGAGACTCGGGTGGCTGCTCAGTGGACAGTGCCCCCAGAAGTGGGTCAGGGATGGGCAGAGGAGCAGAAGCCAGTGCTGGGTGACCATCCCAGAACCAGCCAATCAGGACAGGAGTATCGTCTGATGGCAAAAATCCACAGAAAACCCCCCAAAGTCCATTTCAGGCCGGGACCTCCACCTCCTGCCCAGCCGTAAGCTCCTCCATGCCTCACCCAAAGGGCACAGGCCTGGCCACCAGCTCCCGCCTTCGAGTTCCTGTCTACCTTTCAGGAAACAGGAAATCCATTTAACCCTTGAAATAAATTAGGAATGAGAAGGTGTGGGTGCAGGAACCCCAAAGGAGGCGCGAGCAAGAGGGAAAAGGGTGCCTGTCTGAGCCCCTCCACACCTCACATCCTGTCTGCTCTCCTGGCCCCTGGCCCCTGGGACCGGTCCCCATTCCTGTGCTGCACCTCACTCCTTCATCCTTCAAATGCCACCACAGCAGTTCTTGCCTCTCCCCCCAGCATCACCAATTCTCCCCTCTTTGTTAGAAATTTTCAAATAAGTCCTAATTATTTTTTTAATTGAAATGAGAAAAAGAATCCACTCTTAACCATTCCTTCTCATTTTTTCCTTAGAGCAAACTTTCTGGAAAGACTTATCTATACTTGCTATCTCCATTCATTCTCTCTCTCTCTCTCTTTTAATGTTTTTATTGACTTTAGAGAGAAGAGAGAGATAGAAACATCAATGATGAGGGTGAATCATTGATTGACTGCCTCCTGCATGCCCCACACCAGGGATCAAGCCTGCAATCCGGGTGTGTGCCCTAACTGGGCATTGAACTGTGACTTTCTGGTTCATAGATTGATGTTTAGCCACTGAGCCAAGCTGGCTGGGTTCATTCTCTCTTTTAAGTTAAATATTTATATATATATATTTAGCCCTATCTAGTTTGGCTCAGTGGACAGAGCATCAGCCTGTGAACTGAAGGGTCCCTGTTTGATTCTGGTCAGGGGCATGTCCCTCGGTTGCAAGCTCCATCCTGACCTTGCTTGGGGCACGTGTGGAAGGCCACCAACCAATGTGTCCCTCTCACATGGATGTTTCTCTCTCTCTTCTCCCCCTCTCCCCCCCCCCACCTCCCTTGCACTCTCTCTAAAATTCAATGGAAAAATATCCTCAGGTGAGGATTAACAAAACAACAAAAAAGGTAAAGTTTAATTAATTTCATAAAGTGTCTTATACTCGACAAACCATAAACAAACGTGAGCCGCGTCTCAGAAGCCCCCTCCAGGCCCTTTGCAATCATGGGCACTTCCTCCTTCCCTGGCTGCTCCCAAGGCTTTGTCTTTGTTGCTGGGTCCTCCTCAGGCAGTCACTGCCTCTGAAAGGGATGAGAAGAAATCTGAGAGGCGGGTAGGCAGGGATGCTGAGGGACCTCAGGTCCAAAGGTCTCTCCTTCATACAGGCTGAGGGATGCCCTGAGAGATGTCAACATACACCTGGGAGCTGCTGGGGTGGTGGCCACCTGAGCCAGGGCTGAGCCGTGGGTCTGATCACTAATGAGCAGGACACGAAGTCCTGAGCGTGGAGAAGAGGATGGGGGAGAAAAGGACACCATCTGAGCCAGACAGCCAACCGTCATGCTGAGGTGAGGACCACAGCACCGGAAACCCAGTCCCGCGAGGGCAGTGCTTCCCGCCTGTTCTGTTCACTGTGGCATCGTTCCCAGCGCCTGGAAGAGCGTCCGGGCTGCGGCAGGGGCTCAGTACATACTGACCAGATGAACTGAATGGGATGAAGTCCTGGGTTCTCCCCGGCCCGCGCCAGGAAGGGGATGGGTGTGCCAGCTGCTCTTCCCTATCCCCTCATGCAGTGGTTGGCAAACTGTGGCTCGCAAGCCACATGCGGCTCTTTGGCCCCTTGAAATGTGGCTCTTCCACAAAATACCATGGCCTGGGAGAGCCTGTTTTGAAGAAGTGGCATTAGAAGAAGCTTACGTTAAAAAAAAATTTGGCTCTCCAAAGACATGTCAATTGTTGTCCTGTTGGTATTTGGCTGTGTGGACCCATGAGTTTGCCCACCACTGCCCTAATGAATTCCCAAGCCTCTCTCACGAAACCCCTACCTACATGGTGCTCCCCGAGGACCCTTCGCCTGGCCCTATAACACACGCTAAGAGAGATGTCTGTGGCCTCCAGTTCCCTCGCGTACCTGGCCTGTGGGATGAGTACCTTACAGGAACACACAGGCGTGTGTGCACAGAGAGCGGGTGGTCCACAGACAGCAGTTAGTTTAGAAAATGGTTTTAGTATAAAATAGAGGGAATACGCTTCGCTATACTATTCAGAAGTTGGCCTTTCCTATCAGAATCCGAGGCCGCCCGTGTAACTACCCCTACTGCCGCATTGGTGGCAGAGGGAAGGCTCTTGGCACAGCCGGCTCCTTTCGCCGAGAATGCCCTGGCCAAGCGCCCCGCCCACTGGGCTCCTGGTCCCCAGACCAGCCTGTGGTCCAGCACACAGCGGAGAAACAGAGCTACGAAAACATGCCTGCTGAGCCCAGTGCCCTCACCCTCACCCGGGGAAGTCAGGGCCTTCCTGGGCCGCCAGCCCTGCGATGAAAGGGAGCCGCTGGCCTGGAACCACGTGGGCCAGTGGTTGGAACCAGGGCAAGGTCGGAGGAAAGGGCAGAACCTGGACCCTGTCAGAAACCGGGGCCGGAGCGTGGCGGACAGGCGCCCTCCTCCTCTGGCCCTGCGGGTCATGAACGCCAGACGCATACCTTCCATTGTCTGCGGTGGCTGCGGGCAGGCCCGGGCCTCCCGGTCTGAAACCACAGGCGGCTGGTCTGTGCTGTGAGCTCCGTGCATCCCTCCGGCTGTCGTTGCCAAGTTCTGAGCTCTCAGACACATGTGAGGAGACACGGATGAAGCAGCGGGGGGCCCCCTAACTATCGCAAGGGAAGGTCCTGGCGGGGCGTGGGGAGACGGGTGGGCAGACACCACCCTGGGGCGGGGGGGGGGGGACCAGACCCGGCGGTGCCACATGACACGTGGGCCGCGGTTTTGTGTCCCCTCCGGAGCCGGTCTCTGTCTCTTTCTAGGCAAAGATGAGCAAACACGCCCTGGAAACTCATCTGCGGCTCATTAGAGGGAAAGGAGGCTCCCGGGGACTCTGAACTCCACTCTGCGGATGGCCGGGAAGGGGTCAGCGGGAAGGGATGCGTACGTCTGGGGGAGAGGACAGATGCACGGCTCTGGGCCCGTGGTCGGCAAACTGTGGCTTGCAATCCACACACGGCTCTTTGGCACCTTGAGTGTGGCTCTTCCACAAAATACCTCGGCCCCAGGCGTGTCTGTTTTGAAGAAGTGGCATTAGAAGAAGGTTAAGTTTTTAAAATGTGGCTCTCAAGAGAAATTTCAGTCGTTGTACTGTTGATGTTTGGCTCTGCTGACTAATGAGTTTGCCGACCACTGCTCTGGGCGGATCCTGGGGGGAGGGGGAGGAGGGTTGCTGGTGCTCCCAGGCAGCCTGGTCTGAAATGGGGGGGGGGGGGGGGGCCTCTCCTCCCTGGCCCTCTCTCAAGGAAGCCCAGGGTCCCACACCTCAGGGCGGAAGCAGCGTTGGCCTCCGGACAGATGACGGAGGCTGTCCAGGTCTCCCCTGGTGGCTCTTGCCGGGCGGTGAGGACTCTCTGGAGAGCAGAGGGCAGGCGAGGGGAAGCAGAAATGAGCTTTTGGTTTTTCTGCAGTGGCTTTGATTTTTTTGTTTTTCAAGAAGAAAACAGTCGGCCCCGATCCCGGGGGGAAAGGGGGCGGACAGAAGTGAAGGCTATTTCGGAGCCGGCTGCCTCCCCAAAGGAAGGGTGTAAATAGTGGGAAGAGAGTCCAGCCCTCACTTCCTGGAATCAGGCGTGTGGGCAGCCTTTGCCATGGGCAGCTATTCTTCGGCCACATTATCTCAGCTTTCAGCCTCACAATGACCCTGCTACGTGGGCGGAAAGGGGTATTGTCCCCACTTTGCCGGTGGGGAAACTGAGGCTCTGAGGTGTCAGCTAACTTACAGAGAGGGATGACGTTCAGCCCCTAAGGCAGGTCCTGCTATTCCAGGTCTCCTACCTTCCCCGCCACCCCCAGGGCCTCTTGGCTGTGCCTTGTCCTCCCTCCTGTGCTCAGGCTGCGTCTGGGTGTCCAGCATCACGGAAAGACACTGGCTTAGAGAGCAAAGAATCCACTCCCTGTCCCAGCTCGGCCACCATCGGACTGTGTGGCCGTGGGCACAGCCTGGATCTCTCGGGGCCTCGGTTGCTGTATTTGCCAGCGGGGAGACTCGGCCTTTCCCTGCCTGCCTCTCTCTCTCGGAGGAGGGGAGGCTCCATCAGGTATCCTGTGGGAAACAGCTCTGCCAGTTCCAACATATTCCACCGACAGGGGCCGGCCAGTACCTTCGTGATGGGAGTGGGAGTGAGCAGAAAGGCTCGCTGCTTCCAATTCTCTCTCTCTCTCTCTCTCTCTCTCTCTCTCTCTCTCTCTCTCTCTCTCTCTCTTTCTCTCTCTCTCTCTCTCTTTCTCTCTTCCCTTCCACCAGCGATCCAGCTCCTCGTGGGCTTTTTCTCCTCGTTACAGGCAGAGCCTTCTGGGCAAGGAGACACCTCCAGCCATTACTAGTCGCGGGTCCTCAGAGTAAATGAGTGTGTCGCCCACCCAGGGCTCAGGGGGACGATCCAGCAGGGAGTGTGCGTGCTTACCTTGATCAAACCTGAGTGATAGCCAAAACCCATTTGGCCTGCGGACTGAAGGGTCCCAGGTTCGATTCCAGTCAAGGGCATGTACCTTGGTTGCAGGCACATCCCCAGTATGGGGTGTGCAAGAGGCAGCTGATCGATGTTTCTCTCTCATCGATGTTTCTAACTCTCTATCCCTCTCTCTTCCTCTCTGTAAAAAATCAATAAAACATATTAAAAAAAACAATAAAAAAAAAACCCTCGTGATCCATCACACCATCACACCAAAGGTGGCCAGAGTGGTGTGTTCAGGCCCCGGACACTTTCCTTTCCGTTCGGCACCCTGAGGGTCTGAGCGTGAGGCCGGCTGAGAACGAGAAAGAGCTCCTTCTCCTCTCTGCCCCCCTCACCCCCCACAGAGGTGCCCGGGCCTCAGACTAGGGCCTCCTCCCAGACCACCCCTTCCCAGCAGACACCTTGTAGAGGCTGGACCATGTGGGAGCACTCAGACCCCTGCTCCCCACCCCCCTCCCGCCCCCCTCCGGGGCCCAGACGGGAGGAAGGAGACCCAGCTTGTCCCCCAGGTGCTCCTACTCCTGTCCTCCACCCACCCAGGCACACAAGCCAGACAGATGCATCCATGCACCCATTCTGACTGCACCCTTTTCTGTTCAACGGCAGGAGGTGGTCAAGGCCAGCGAGAGCCCAAGGCAGCCGTCGTCAGAGCTGGTCTCTTCCCGACCCCGGGTCTCTCTCCCAGCCCCTCTCAGTCCCACCGTCCCACCTCCGAGAGCCTCTCCTGCTTCTCCGAAGCCCCCGGCACCTTCCTGCAGCCCCCGGCACCTTCCTGCACCCTTCCCCCACACCAACGCTAGGCCCAGAGGCAGGGCGTTCTAATGGTGGAAGGCAAGCACCTGAGGCGGGGAGGAGGGGGAGGATGACGTGATGGGCCTGAAGTGACGGGGGAAAGAGGCCACCTGCACCTGTTGTACAATCAGCCCATAGCCCTGGGACCTGAGAACCAGAGCTCTGAAGCCTATAAATTAACAGAACGTGGCTGAGCAAGTATGCGCCTGAGGGGATGTTGGGCTGGACTCCTCGGCACCCTGTCAGATGCCCCCTCCCCGGGTTCCCAGCTCAGTCGCCGAGGTCCGCCCACCGCAGTCCCCACGCAGCCCAGCCCGTCCGAAAGAGGAAGAAATAAAAGAGGGCAAATGTGAGGAAACCGTTTTATAGCCCTTTAGTAACTGTTTTGCCAGGTTCTGTTTATTCTGCTCAAAGCATGTTATAAAAATATTCGGCAATTAAGGAAAGGGGGGAAATCGCACCAGGGGAGTCCTTTTAAAAACGGGTTTGAGGTAAAGCACAGGTTGACCCCATTAGCTTGGGGAAAACACCTCCTGCACCGAGTGCTCGTGAAGGTCTGCGTGTGCCCCCCCCCCCCCCCCACTGCTCCCCGGGACGGGGTGGCGGGACGGGGAGCCGAGGGCTGTCCGCTGGGCCTCACCTTCTCTGCTGTGGCCGGGAGCCAGCCACTCACACCGGGTGACCCAGACACGCAGCGTCTCCCCTGTTCTCCCGGGTGAGCCAGTCTACACCAGCACCTCGTCCCACGTTTAGTCCAGCTCCGCAGACAGAGCCTCAGTTTGTGGCCAGACCTGCCCTTGCAAGGACGGGGCCCTACAATGACATGCTCAGTGCTTCAGCTCCCACCGCTCTGCTCCACGATGTCTGGGACTCGAGCGGAGGGAAGGTGGGGGGGAGGGGGGGACTGCTGATATGAACTCATGTCAGAGGAGACGTGGCATAGTCCCATGGTAGATTCTATTCTTACTTGCACACACACACACACACACACACACCCCTCTCCCACATCCTGAGGGAGGGTGATACATCCCTGCTCATAGCAGGTCCCTTACAGTGACATCTGTGGCAGGAGTGTCCTTCCCTCCCCCATTGATGTGGCCACTGTGTGACTGGGCTTGGCCAGTGGCATGTGAGAGCAGATGTGTTAAGAGCCAATGTTGGCTGCTGCCAGCTCTCTCTCCCTCTCCCTCTCCCTCTCCCTCTCCCTCTCCCTCTCCCTCTTTGTGTGTGTTTCCTTGCCCTGAGTAGGGCATGGCCTACACTTGGCTTCACCTTCAGTCAGGGTCCCAGAATGAGAAGATCTGTGGGGCAGAACCCAGCTGGCCACGGTGACCAACACGGAACATGAATGAGGAACGATGGCTATATTTTCAGAGGTAGAGATGCGGGGGGCCTTTTGTTACTGCAGCCTTACCTAGCAAAAGCTGACTGACACAGGGCCCTGTCTTCCTCCAGATCCGCCAAAGACTTGTCTCTTGTCCACTTGCCTGAAGTCCGTGGCCAGGGAGTTCGGCTCTGCCTCCTGTGTCTTGGGCGGAGTCCTCACCTTCCTGTGGTCCCCTCAGGTCCCACTGTGCCTCGCATCTGCTGCCCAGCACAGGTGGTCTGCCCTGGGACCCTCAGCTACAGGGTGCCCTCACCCTCTTTCTGCAGCCCTTCTGGTAAATCTCCCAGTCACACCCTCAGCTAATTTCCAGGCTCCCCTGGGCTCATGAGGACATTTCTAGAGCCCATTCCCAGGGCAGCTGGAGAAGGTGACCCAGGCCCACTCTGCCTACCCCTACTGTGCCTCCACATGGATGTGGCCACCCAAGTTAGTGCAGAGGCAGACTTCCAGGTGACTTCCTCTAATCCCTCGGTATCCCCTCAGCCAGACCAGCACGTGGGCCCGGGTGGAGAAAATCAGAGCACACACCTCTCATCCCCAGGACTGGAGAGAGCGGCCCTCCCCTTCCTCCTCATGGTTACCAAACTCCCTGCTCTAGGGAGTGAGTGGTAAACGGTCATCTAACCCACCAAACCTGACCCTGGATGTGCTAAAGGAGGACCAGTTAACAACCCCTCTGTCTCCACAAACCCTGGATTTCCATAGTGTCATCTCCATCAGGAGGTCAAGGGAGGGAGCCTAGAGCCCCCATGATGGCAGCCCTCCAGGACCCTCCCCCGTGACAAGGGCTGATGGCCCCGCCTCTAAGGTGGAAACCACATGATAGAAATGGCGATGGTAAAAAGAAAGCAGTTCCGATGGTGAAGATGGTCATTGCTATGCTGTGTGTTTTTACCACAATTTTTAAAAAACAGGTCGGTTCAAACACTCTTTCACCACTGAATTTCCCTTTTCCATCACTGAGATCTACATGCAGAGGAGATGTGAAGTAGGGTGGGCTGGAGCCAGTCAGCACCAAATATCCTCTTCTCTTAAACGTTGCTCCTTGTGGTATTCCTGTTTCCTAGTTCTTTGGAAATCTTGGAGCTATGACTGTCTGAAGATGGGGGAGAACACTTTACCAGCACCCAGCCTGCTGGCACAGAGTTTAAGAGTGGCCCTATTCTATCCTATCCTATCCATCTCATGTGTCCTGGCCCCAGGCCCCAATACATGTTCTAGTGTGCTCCCTACCCCAGGCACATGGAACTCAAGAGCCTTGGCGTAGGCACTAATATGATCAGTGTCATTCAGGAATTGGGTTGGCTGCACAGAACAGACACCCGAATAACAGTGGCCTAAACAAAACAGGGTATCATTTTTATCTCCACGATGCTGCCCAGGTCCCAAGCTCATTCTATCACACTCCTTTGCTTTTATAGGGGGTGATTTTTAAACTCGTGACCACAAAATGGCTTCTGGAATCACCACCATCATGCTCACAGCCCCAGCAAGGGAGAGGGCCAAGAGTTTTTTGTATGCAGACTGACTGAATGCCCCCTCCCTTCGCCCCTGGCTTTTAAGGTGCTTTCATGGAAGCCCAATCCAGCTTCTGCTCACATGTCATTGTCCAGAACTGAATTATGCAGCCATCCCTAGCTTCAAATGAGGCTAGGAAATGTAGCATTTTTTTTTAAGGTGGGCCAATTGCTGATCCCTAAAAAAGTCACGGTTCTGTGAAGGAAGAAGAAGGAAGAGAGAGTCGGTTGGGAAATGGCAGCCCAGGTCACTCATTCCTACCACCCATGCTTCCCTTAGAGGTTCTGAGGCTGCCAGCTTCCATGCTCAGCCTTTATGCTTGCATACCTTTTGTGTCTGCTTCTCTCCCCTGAGGGGAGAAAACCTCTTGCACGTAGAGACAGCGTGTTATTTGTGTTTGTTACTTTCTCTTTCCCCAGTCCAACCTTCCAATCCTGCTGTCCCGGCACCGTTAATACATATTTTAGAAAATAAAAAGACGTGGCTCTCACTATTAGCCAGCTAATGCCTCGTGACGAGGTTTCCATTGCTTCAATCACTATCCCAGCCACGGATTGTCATTTCACATTTCACTCGTGTGCGTAGTGACTCCTTCCCCGGGCTGCCGCCTCCTCGGAGTCTGGAAGTGCCCATTCGGTGACCTTCCCGCATGGAGGGCGTTAATGAATTGTGAGCCCCAGTGACCTGGGTTCCAGTGGTTATCAGTAACCACAACAATAGCAATTTGACCTCTTTGTGATGCTTCGGAGTTTACACAAGCTCCTCCAGCCACCTTATCTCACGTGATCTTTTAAGTAACTCTTTTAAGTAAGCAGGGCCGCTGTAATTACGCCTTTTTTCTTCACAGATGATGAAATGGAGGGGAAGGGAAGGTACACAACTCGCCCAAAGGCATATGCTGAGAGTGTTTGGACTGGGACTTCAATGGAGGTCTTTCCACTCCAACTCTGGCCCCTTTCCATCAGACTTCAGACTTTTTCAAATCCCTCCCTTTCACAATGAAGAAATTAGGGTAGGTGATTTCTAATGCAGTGCTGCCCAATAGAAACAGAGTGTGTGCTGTGTATGTAGGTTTGCCATTGTCTATTATTCACCTTTAAAAAGTGAAAGGAATAGGGAAAGTTCATTTTAATAACAACATTTTATTTTAACTCGGGATATTTTAATTTCAGCATGTAATTGGGATAAACATTATGAATAAAACTTTTACTTTTTTTTCCCTTTGAAATTCAGTGTGTGTATTACCTACTCAGCACATTTCAATTCAGACTAAGTGCATTTTGAGTGCTCAAAAGCCACATATGGCCAGTGGCCACGGATTGGAAAGTCCAGCTCTAATATTTGAAAGGTACATTTGAACTTGAAATTAATCTCTGGCATTTTAGACCGCATGACTACTACTGTTAGAAATGATCTAAAATCGCTATCCATTTTCTATACATTGTTGCCATAAAGAACTGTCTGCAGCAGCCTGTCCCTAGGACACGTTGCTTTGATTTACCGCAAAGCATTCCTGCCATCTGGTGGCTGCTTCTTGAATTGCAAGGGAGAAATGGGCTCTAGGAACCTTTTTCAAAGCATGATCACATCTGATTTACCCCTGAGCCCCACTAAATCCGAATCTCCAGAGCAGAGTGTATCCAAGACACCCACATTTTTAATAAGTTTCCTGAGTTGTCTACGTACAGACTAAAATTTGAGAATCTTTGATGTCTACATAATGCAACCATAGAAAATTCAGTGACAGAAAATATCGAGGGCAAGCTCATTTTTCCCTGATGCTGGTATTTCTAAGACGCTGCTTCTTCTTTTTATTCTGACGGGTTGTGGGCTTTTGTTTCTAAACAGAAAAAAACACACACCCATTCGCCTGCCACACACAGAAGATCAAGAAGGATCCAAAACAAAAAGACTTAAAGAAACAACTTCATTTGCCTCCCATGCAACCCTGCTCACAGAAACACAGATGCAGGTGGAAATCTCTCCAGGCCACACATGACCAGCCTCTGCAGCCCCTCCAGCCTCTTCTCTCGCCCCTGCCCGCTGCACATGATGGTCCAGCTCTTAGCTCTGAGACTTTGCAATGCTGTTCCCTCCATCCGGAACAGCACTCCACCCTCCGCCCTCTGTGACAGCTCACCTCTCAGGATGCAGCCCAGGCACCATCCACTCAGGAACCCCCAGGAAGCTCGCAAAGCGGTACCCTTGGCTTTCCCTCCCAGAGTGCCCCACGTGCAATGCTAATTGTCTGCGGGGTGTCTGGCTTCCCCCCACAGCTACAGACGCCTAGCAGGCAAAGGTGGGTGTCTCGCGAAAGGTCTCTTCTCTGGATCTCCCTGAACTCTGCCAAAAAGCAGGCATTTACAGATATTTCAGTGGTCTGAAAACTGCGGCTCAAGCCACATGCGGCTCTTTGGCCCCTGGAGCGTGGCTCTTCCACAAAATACCACGGCCTGGGCGAGTCTATTTTGAAGAAGTGGCGTTGGGAGACGTTTAAGTTTTAAAAATGTGGCTCTCCAAAGAAATTTCAATCGTCGTACTGTTGATATTCGGCTCTGTTGACTAATGAGTTTGCCGACC